CCTCCGGCCGGGAGCGCCCACCGGGAGGCCCACCACGCCTCGGGCGGGCTGGTACCTGCAAACAGCCTCCGCGGTCCCCGACTCTAGAAGTTCTCCTCTCTGCCCTCCTCTGCTTTTTGCTGCAAAATGCCGCTTTGGGAGGAGGATCCAAGGGCATCAAGTTGGTGTCCAGACAGCCTGCTGCACGAGGACAAATGCCACATCCGGAGGGTGCCCAGAGGGCCCAGAGGGTGCCCAGGGTCGCACGAGCCTGGCCCGCAGCCAGCACCCTGACCAGGGCCCAAGAAGGAGGATGCACTCCAGCCTCTCCCGCCAGGCCCCCGACCCCCCCGCCTCCCCAGACTCGGGGCTGAGCCTCAGAAGTTGGCGCTCCTGGTCTCGGGAGGGTCGGCTGTGACATCTCGTACTTGCTCCTCGAGCCCAGAGGGTAGCCCCTGGTGGGACCGTGGACCCAGCCCTTCCTAACAGGGATTCTGCCCTGCGCTGGTTTAGTTAATCGAGCTTGGCTGAAAGGCTAGTTTTCCGTGGTCCCGTGGATGAGGAAGGTCTCAACAAGGACACGGTGCACAGGGCCACTCCTCATGAGCTGTGAGACCCCAGGCAAGTTTCTCAACTTGTCTGTGCCTCAGTGTATTCAGTGATAATGTGGACAAAGGTGGGCACGATAGTCCCTCCCTCGTATGGTGGCTGGGCAGAATAAATAAACCAAGCCGTGCGAAGCACTTAGCGTGCGCCCGGCACACAGTCAGCATCCAGGAAATAGGAGCAGATGTTTCTGGGGCTGGCGGGTGCGAGGGCTGGCGGGTGGGAGGCAGGTGGGGTGGTCAGCGCCTGTGCTCAACTTTGCTCGCCAGAGTGGAAGGCCACTGGGGGCTCAGCCCAGAGCCTGGAGAAGGATCGAGGTCTGAACTCTTAGAAGGTGACGGGAGCTCTGGCTGCTGATCCCACGGGCCCCAGACTATCCTGGCGGAGAGACACACGGAGACGCCACATTTCCCGGGAAACACGGAATGTGGCTGGAGCCCCCAAGAGCGGGTCCCCGGTGCCAGCCTTGCAAATAGGGTCACACACCAGCCGCTTGCTTAGAGAAAGACACCACGTCAAGAAAAGATGCCTGGTTTGTTCACTTGCTTCTTCTGTTTACGTCCTGGAGTCTTCAGAATGAGTTTGTCTTCCTTCATTTCGCCACCGCCTAAGTGGGTTAGCAAGGAGACGGGAGATGTCAGGTCTCATAAAATTCACTCGTGTCTTACGCTGGGGTCGGGGAAGCTGCCTCCCTTCTCTGGCGGGTGTCCTCTCTCCCGGCGCTCTGTGACGTCTCAGGCGGAAGCTTTGCCTGGAGTACCCTAGTCTCCTCCTACCCACGGACTCTGCCCAGGACATTTCCAGACACCGTGAGCTGCTGCTTCCTCTTCCTTCTCCCAGCCCCCCTCACATCAAATTCGTGCCTCTTTCTGCAGGCTCTTTCTGCATGCCCCGTTTTAGCAGAAGTGCTTCGTAGTTAAAAGCATGAGTTTTAGGATCAGACATACTTTCTCCTTGCCTTGTGCTAGCTGTGTGACCTTAGACAAGTTACTGTGCCTCTCTGAACCTCAGTGTCCTTATCTATAAAATAGAACTAATGGCATTTAAGTGACTCTGCATGGAAGTTGCTCCGCAGAGGGCATGGCGGAGCTGGCATCCCACACACGTTCCTCTTACCTGACGGTGACTTCCCCGCTTCGAGGACCAGTTGCCTGCCTTCCTGCTGGACTGTGAGAGTCTGTGTCACACGCTGGGGCCCCCAGAGCCCTGGGCACACAGTTGGGAGGCAGGAATTGTTGGGATCAAATTCTTTAAAAAGCCGTTTTAGAAGAAATGCATCCCTGTGAAATGCATCTCGTGCTCTTGTCAGGAACGATCTCCTGGGTAAACCGTGCGTCGCTCATTTCTGGCCTGTGCGTCCTGCCCAGGGAGGGCCCCGCGGGACTCCGCCTCGTGGGTGCGGGTGAGACACAAGGGACCAGAGGTGGACTTCACAGTCAGCTAGATTCGATTATGAATATTGACTCTGCTGCTTACAGCTGTGTGACCTGGGGCAAGTTACTTAACCTCTCTGAGACTGAGATAGTGAGGCTAACTTCCTTGAAGGGGGAGGATTGGATGCGTTTGGAAAGGGTACCTGTCATGGTCTAGGCGGCTGCTGATTTCATCCTTGCTACTCCTGGTGACTCTCTCCCTGCTCCTGCTGTTACCGTTCCTCCGCCTTGCAGGTGACTTACCCTCCTTTCTGTCCCTTTTCCTGTCAGCCCTCTCCCGGTTGGGCAGCCCCCCTTCCCTCTGCTCTGCTTTTACGACTCATTTGCACAGTGCCATTCATGCTTCCCGAGTGCACAATCCACACCAGCCTGTTCTGAAAGAACAGGAACCTGATACCCTTTGACCTTCGCTCTGGGGGAGGGGGCCTCAGACTCCCGAGGGGGACAGGAGGGGCCTCAGCGAGGGCTCAGAGCCTTTCTTCCCGGCCCCGCCCCCTCCCCTCGGCCTGGGACGGGAGCTTGGGGACAAAAGGGCCTGTGGCCTGAAACTTGGCCGAGGGAGCCCCGCTGAATTCCTCCTTTGTGACGGGAACGGTGCATGGCCCGGCCCTGCGCAGGGAGCCCGGGTCCCTTTCCCAGTTACGCGGCTCGGCAGGAGGAGGTGGGGTGCAGGGAGGATGGTCAAGGGGCCTCCTTGTGCGGGGGCCGGTCGGTGCTGCCAGACACCCCTGAGGGCCACATCTCCTCCCGCGGAAGCCGCTGGGCTGGATGCTTCTGGAACGGTGCCACGGAGAACCCAGGAGCCGCGTGAGGGTCTCCCTCAGACCCCTGGCTTCCGACCTGTGTCCCGCTGACTGTCTGGGATCCCGCAGGAAGCGGGCAAGGGACGGCTGGACCGCCGACGCAGGGAGCCCGTCGCTGTTTCAGCCGGAGCAGCGCTGTGTTCTGTGGTTGGATCTCACTTAAATTGTCATCTTTATATTAGAGTCAGAAAGACGCCAGTCCAGGCGTGGTGGGCAGGTCTCAGCGGGCGGAGCCCGCCGATGTCCAGGGCTGTGACCACCTTCCCACCCTGGACACAGCCCCCTCCCCACTGCCCTGCGCCTGCCCCCAGGGGGTCCCTGCTGGCTCTGGTGGCCAGGGATGTGCGTGGGAGCAGAGACAGCAGCTCCCAGGCTGTGGGAACAAGGCTCGGGGCTCTCACGGCCTGCGACTTCTCCCCGGGAGACCAGGGGAGGGCCGGCACCTCGAACCCCCCCGGGGAATACCGATCGAGTCGGAATGGAAATCACATTTCGTCTGGGCCCCTTTCCCATGCTGCTGGCAGGTCGTCCGCACACAGATCCAAGATTCAGGTTCCAGGGAGTCCTGAAAGTGAGCTCTGTCTAGTCCTCTCCCCTCGGTGCCAGCCTCGAACTGGGAAGTCCCCCCCTTGACACGGGGCACCAGTGAAACTTTTAAACTTGCCAGATAGTCATGCCTTCATTCTACAAATGGTTATTGTGCACCTGTTAGGTTCCCAACGCACCCAGCTGGGTGGTGGGCATCCAGAGATGGACAGGGCAGACGACAGCTTTCCTTCGGGGAGGGGACACGCCAATGGGGGAGACGGAGCCAACACGAAAACAAAACAAGACTGTCATACATTATGAGGTGATATCATCCATCCTTGGGAAGGAAGGTCGTCATGGAATGAAGCGTGGGCTTGAGAGGAGCTGGGTGAGGGAGGGGGCATTTTATATAGAGCGGCCAGGGAAATGCTTGCTGAGGAGGTGGCATTTGAGCTGAGAGACAGAAGTAATAAAGGACTAGCCAAACAAAAGAGACAGATGGAAGAGTGTTTCAGGCAGCCGGAACAGCAAGTGCAAAGGCCCTGTGGCAGGAAGTGTTTGGTGTGACTGAGAAACAGAATGGAAGCCACTGAGGGTCGGTGAGCCAAGAGATAAGATAGGAGTGAGGCAGGAGCCCATCAAATCGGGTGGGATTTGAAGGCCACAGCAAAGGAGTTTGGATTTTGTGCTAAGAGTGGTGGACAGACATTGATGGCTTTTGGAAATACCTATTGCAAAATATTTCAGCCAATCAAAAGAGTATCTAGAAGATATATGCAAAGTGTGAGGAATAATATAATAAGTAAACACCCCTGCACCCTTCACTTTACCCCTCCCCAGCACCATTTCTCACTCCTCTGGGGAGGTAGCTATTATCCTGAATTGTAGTTCTATAATCTTTGCATTGCTTCCTAATATTACCAAAATAGAGCCAGATACAACTTGGTTTTGCCTGGTTCTGAACTTCATATAAATGGAATCCTGCTGTGTGTTCTGCAATTTGCTTTCTGCTCTGCATCCCGTGTGTCAGACTGGTCCATGCTGGTGCCTATGGCCGCAGGTGACTCATTTTCACTGCTGCGTAGTACTCCACTGGGTGACACCATCATGGCTTAACTTTTCTCTTGGGACGTGACACCACTCGCTTTTCTAATGTTGAACCAATTCCACATTCTTGGCATAGACCCAACTTGATTGTGATGTATTATCTTTTTAAAAACAGACAAACATTGTTGGGTTCCATTTGCTCGTGTTTTGTTTAGGACTTTTGCTCCGTGCTGGAGGATCAGATTGGCCTGGCATTTTCCTTCCTGGCCTTGTCCTTTTTTGGTTTGGGTATCAAGGTTGTAGAGGCCTCATAAGTGACTGGGTCTTGTCTCCTCCTCTTTCATCCCCCGGAGCACTTGTGTACGAAGGATAAACCATGGACGGACTTGGTAAATGTCGCTCCCACGTGGTCATCCTTGCGCAGCCCCCCCTTTTCTGGTACAGAATTGTGGCTTCTTTTGGTACAGCTCGTCTACCCTGCCCCAACCTGTGCCCTCCCCCCAAAAAAACAGAAAACACATCCCTCCCAGCTACCCCGCCACGAGCCCCTCAAATTGACATGCTCCCAGCTTACTTAGAAAGCGGTATTTCTGGTTTTTTGCAGGTAGATCCTGAACTCTAGATTGTACCATGAAGGGTCATTTCCGGGCTGCCCTGAGCTGTGCCAGGTGACAACAGGTGGGTGCCTCTCTTAACGGGCTAACAATTTTTCCTGAAAACCCAGATATAGGGTTATTCACTATCCTCAGGGCCACCTTGCACAGGAGCGCGATGGGGCCAACTCCAGGGTCCAGAGCTGGGTCTGGCTGACTGGGACCCCGGGCTGCCCAGCAAAGCTGCTCTGTCTGTTTCAGGAACTCGCTGGAAAGTACGTGATCCAAATCCTCCCCAGGCACAAAATTAGCTTCTTTCCCTATTTTTGAAAAGGAAAGAACATCACACTAAATATAACATGGGTCAGCAAGCCAAAAACAAGACACACCAGCCACCAGCTGCACCTCCGGGGGCTGGGTTTCCACACCCCGGAGAACCGTCGAGATCCTGGGCTCCGGAGGGAGGGTGAGTCGGGGAACAATTTTAAGCTACCGCTGGACATGGAACCCCGCCGTGAACCCAAAACCCGAAACCCTTTCTTTCATGTTCTTACTCTAAAAGGGCCACATGCACAGATCTGGGTTTTCCAATTCTTCTTCTCCAGTAAGAAAAAGAAAATAAAGATCATTCTAATCCCATTGCACAGAGAAAATAACCGTATACATCATGGCATGTATAGTTTGAGTGTTTTGAAATTTAGTACAATACATTAAATGATGTCTCTCAACCTTTTTTCCCCACTACTGTCCCCTAAGGAGTCTTTTTAGACGTCTTTTTGTAATGCTCCCCTCCCCCACCCCATGAAGGTGTCATCCCATAGGTAGATGGCGTGTCCGTTTGTGTTCTGCAGAGGGCCACAGACCACTGTAACATCTAAGATGATTTCACACTATCCCCAACAACCAATTTTTTCCCCCATGTTGGGGCTCTCAGCCCATTGAGAATGCAGGCTTTAAATAATATCAAATAACAAACCTTTCTATAAAACCTTAGAGTGTGCAGGTCACATACTGTTCTAGGTGCTTTATCCACGTTTGTTTACTTATCATAAATCCCCTATGAGGTGAGTACTAGAGAGCTTTCATCTCCATTTTACAGTTGTGGGAACTAAGGCACAGAGAGGTTAAGTAACTTGCCCAAGGTCACACAGCTGGGAAAGTACAGAGTGAGGATCTGAGCCCAGGCAGCCTGGCTCCAAAGTTCACGCTTAACCACCAAGCTGTGTTGCCCTCCAACAACACCTTCTGATTATAAAACATTCAAAATTCAGAAATCGAGTAAAGGACATACTTGCCAAGCCCCCTCCATCCCCGGAAGCATCATTGGTACAAGTTTGGAATGTGCCCCTCGTCTGGGAATTTTACGTACATGTTTGTGAAATGTATGAAAATGTATTGTCTCTTTTTTATTTTAACGTAAGTAGGATCATTTTCTCTGTATATTCATATATACATATCTGTGTATAGAATTTTTTTTCCTGTTTTTTCTCCCCAAATCCCCCCAGTACATAGTTGTATATTTTAGTTGTGAGTCCTTCTAGTTGTGGCATGTGGGACGCCGCCTCAACGTGGCCTGACAAGCGGTGCCATGTCCACGCCCAGGATCCGAACTGGCAAAACCCTGGGCCGCCGAAGCAGAGCGCATGACCTCAACCACACGGCCACGGGGCCGGCCCCTACAATTTTTAAAAATAGAATTACACTGAACATACTGTTTTTTTAACCTTGTTGTTTGACTTTAAAATATATCACTAGCAGCTTTAAGACCATAAGTTAACAAGTGCAGGTACCATATTTTATTTAACCAGATCCAGATTATTGGCTATTTAAGGAGTTTCTAATCCCTCACCTCTATAAAGCGATGATGAATTTCTTTGCCTTGCATTTAGTTCTTAGAAACTGGAATTGCAAAGCTAAAAGGTGTAAACGTTTTTGAAACTGTTGATCCATAAATGCCAAAATCTGCCACCCAGAAGAATTGCATGCAATTGCCCATCCCAATACCCTCAGGTATTATTGCCTGTTTTCAATCAGTGGCAATTTAACTGGCCAAAAACGTGTGAATCCTGACATTCTCATCTCTGCCCGTGACTCTCTTCTGGGCCCTGTTTTGCTCACTGTCAGCGAAGCTTGAGCTGAGAGTTAAGGAGACGGGGAGGGGGGGAGGTTGAAGTGGCCCCAAACACTGGTGTAATAAATGCACCATCAGCTTCCCAGCCACAAGGTCTACCTGTCGGGTCCTTAGCCGGCGCCCCATGGTGGCTTTTTCATCTCTCCTGCTTCCAGCGCCAGCCTCGGCCTGCACCTCTCCACCACTGAGCCCTCGCCTCTGGCCTCGTCTCAGATCCGTTTGGCAGGCCGAGGCCTTCCCAGGGCTGCAGTCCCCTCGTCCTTCCCTTTGCTGGCCGTGAGCGAGAGTGTGAGGAACAGATACCCTTGTGTGTCAGTGTGTCCGTAGGTACGGCAGGCGCTTCCCAGCTGGTCCCACAGCAGCCGTCTGCCGCAGGCTCCCCGTTCAGTGCCCTGCGTGCATGCACATACGTGTTCACAGCCAGTACACAGGCATGGGAGTGCACGTTTGTGCACATATGCGCGCGCGCGCGCACACACACACACACAGTGCAGCACAGTCAGGGGGCAGACCCTGTTCTGTGAAGTGGGACTTCTCTCTCGCAGACGCTTCCTGTACAGCCCCAAGCCCGAGTTAGGAGACCCGGCTGCCTACCTCCGCCGTCCCTGTACTTTCTCTTATGTCGTCGTTACTCCTTGCAGACTGCCTTCCTGCCAGCCCGGAAGCCCCACTCCCCCTTAATTTGCTCCCACTGTTTCTCGGTGCCTGACGCTGCTCAGCAGATGCACAGAAATATTTGTTGAATGAAAAAAAGAAGGAACAGACTTCAAGCTGACAGAGGATGTTATCCCCAATATTTTTAGAGTATTTTTCAACAAAGTGGCCAGTTTCCGATTGAGCCCGTTGTTTGATGAGAAAATGCCTCTGCAGCGTCGGGTTTCAAGTGGGCTAGTTAGCCGGCCTTCTGGAAAGATCGGAAAGAATGCAGAATTGAAAACAGGGCCGTGCCCATCGAAACATCTGTCAAGCTTTACTGTTCCGCCAAGGCTGCTGTGGCAGGGTTAACACTGAGGAGCAGTCAGCCAGGAGCTTGCTCGCTGGTCTTCTGGCCCCTGAGTGCTCTAAGCTAAACCCTTCTGGGGACGTGGGTGTCTGGATCACTCTGCAAGCCGACAGATGGTTATGGGCCCCCAGGATGGCTCACTGCTCCCTTTAGCCCACAGCCTCTGAGCTGCTTCACGGGAGGAGCCTTTCTCGGCCGGCTGGGCATAACGGCTAAGATGAGGAATGTGTGGGCTTCTGCCCCTTTAAGGAAAGCAAAACTCCACGTGGCTGAAGACAAGCCTCTCTTCCCGGTGGCTTCATGTGGCCTCTGCTCATTTCATTTTTGAGTCCCTGCGATGCCCCAGGAGCAGAGATGAAGCAGACGTGGCCCCGGGGAGAGAGGGACTTGCCGTGGTAGTTGCTGGGGGCTGGTGGGAGTGCACGGAAGGGGCAGCTGAGCAGGGGCCATCAGGGAACCGCAGAAATGCCAGGGGATGTCGAAGAAGGGCCAGGTGAGAGGTGAGTGGGAGAGGTATGGCCAGGTTGCGTTAGCCACGAACGTGAGTCTAAGGAGCCTGGATTTTCTCCTGCAGGAAACAGGGAGCCATTGAGGGTGGTGACCAGGCGGCAGTAGGCTGTCTGGACTGGGACGTGTCATTGACCCATGCCTGTTACCCAGGCAATTCTGGAACAACTGTTGACCACGGCTCCTGCATGCTGTCGTTCCCTCTCTTGGCTGTACCCCGTGAGAGTCGAGATTTTACTGCATTTCATTAAATGCCACAAAATGCTTTAATGACCTGGAGCCCTGACCTCTCAGGCCTCCTGCAGGGAAAGATCCGGCTTTTCCTTTTCGGGTAGGGGCAGGCGGGCCGGCCTTCCTTCTGCAGCTCACAGGAGCACCAGCACGTAAGGCATCTGGAATGCATCAGAGGCGAGGCCCAGCGGAGCCCGTGGCTCAGTCCTGCTTCTTAACTCCTCCAGGAGCACAGCCACTGTGTTCCCAGCAGCGTCTCCAGTCGGAACTGATTTTCTCTCTCCTCTTTCTGCTTGCCTTCCAGACCCCCCGGCCACCGCTGTCCACACGGGACGCCTCGAATTTGCTGGAAGCCATCCCTCAAGAGTGTGGCTGCTGTTTTCCTAGTGCGGCGCTGAGGACTTTGTTCAGTGCACTCAAGGGGGTTTTGTTGCTGCTGCTGCTTTTTATTTATTTATTTTCTTCCTTTGAACTGGGCTGTGCCCTGTTTTCGCTGGCATGATGGCGCAGTCCAAGGCCAACGGCTCACACTATGCGCTGACCGCCATCGGCCTGGGGATGCTGGTCCTCGGGGTCATCATGGCCATGTGGAACCTGGTGCCCGGGTTCAGTGCGGCCGAAAAGCCGACAGCTCAGGGGAACAAGACCGAGATAGGCAGTGGCATTCTCAAGAGCAAGACCTTCTCCGTGGCCTATGTGCTGGTCGGCGCTGGGGTGGCCCTGCTGCTGCTCTCCATCTGCCTGAGCATCCGGGACAAGAGGAAACAGCGGCAAGGCGAGGAGATGGCGCACATCCAGCACCAGCAGGGGGCCGAGCCTCGTGCCCAGGAGGAAGACAGGTGAGGACTGGCTGCCTCGCCCCAGATGGGGGATGGGCACATGCACACACACACACGGGTGGGGCTCAGCAATGAGAATTCTTTAGTCCAGAGGTCTTACCTTCCCACTTTCTCCCATTCAGGCTCCGTAGAACAGCTTATCGTTTTACCAATAGCTTTAAACCTCTATCCCAGAGTTTCCCAAATAATGCGATATGAATAGACTACGGGTGTACCGAGATTTTGACATCCCCAGGGAAGCTGCGTGGGGCCTGGGGTGGCCAGAGCTCCTAGACTGGCTGCTTGCCCGTTCACCCCAGCGCTTAGAGTGGAAAAGGTTGCGAAGCAGTGTTCTATTTAACCAAAAATAAATTTAAAAGATAAGTGATAAATCAGGGAACATATGATAAAGGTTGACATCCCTCTGATTGAAAGAGCCCTCACAAATGAGTGTGGAAGATGAACACACCAGCAGGAAAGTGGACAAATGAGCAAGCATTTCGTGGATGTTCAGACAGTAGATGTTCAACCTCATTAGTCACAAAGTGCAGACAAAAAGAAGGCGTCATTATTCTCTGCCCATTGTCCTGGCGGAGAGAGACAGCCTGGGTGTTAGAGGCTGTAGGGAGCGGGTTGCTGATGAGAGTGCTGACTGACATAAGCTTTCTGAAGGAGTTTCCCATCAGGAGGCGGGATTGAAGATGCTGTTCCTAAGAGTTTGTTCCCGGGAGACAGTCACACAAGTGCAAAGGAGTTTATACCCATGTGCTCATCAGGGCCTTGCTTAGCACAGCAAAAACTGAGCAACAACCTAAATATCCATCCTTTGAGCTAAATTATTACACACCCATTCAATGGCGTTCTGCACACCGTTGTTGATCTCTCTGTGCTGATGGGGGACCCTGTCTACCAGGCTGAGAAAAGCAGGTCATAACGCAGCATCTCTGGGCACGTCTTCATCACGTCCAGTGGCGGCTGTGGGGTCAGAGACGGCTCTGGAAAGGGCACAGCAGGATGTTAACAGGGTTATCTCTGGGGGCGGGGGTTCAGGATGTTTTTATTTTCTTCATTAGGTTTTTCTGTGATGTTTGAATTTGCTACAAGTATGTCTTATCTTTATAGCGGGAAGGGAGTTCTTTTTATTTTGGAAAAATTAAACCCATTTTCTAATAATAGATAATGTATGCCTATTCTAGAAAACTTAGGAAATATAGAAAAGAACAGAGAAGGAAAATCCTCCCCTTAACTCCTCAGCCGGCCATGAGCACACACGAGTTCTTCCTAAAGGAGATGAGAGGGAAGCCGGTTTCTAACAGGGGGCTTTCTGGTGTTGGCCATTGTTACCCCACAGGTTCAAGGGCAGCATCCTGGAAAATGGCTGTTGGCCTGACTCCCTATAAATGTGCCAACAACGCCCTGACTTTTCAGTTTTCTCTTTCAACAGTCAAATGAGAGTAAGGCAGAGGACCTGACCTGACCTTTGAGTCTTACGATGAAATTAGAAGATAAAATTACAGAATAATTTGAAATACACATAAATTTTATATTCCGATATTCCTTCTCTACCTGGGGGCAAACATTTTGCTTCAAACCGGCAGCTATTTCATGCAGGTGTCTGTTGCCTTTGGCCAAAGGACCCAGCTGGGCATCGGAATAGCCTACCCAGCATGTTGTTCAGTATGAGGCATAAAGGTGGGGTGGGGGGGCGGTTAACACGCAGAGAATCCAGTGTAGTAATTGAGAGTGTGGCCTTCACTTCCTGCCCTTCCACTTCCTAAAGGTGTGACCAAGTCACATAACCTCGATGTATGTTTCCCCATCTGTAAAATGGGTATAATAGTACCTAACTCCTAGTGTTGTTAGGAAGGTGGACTTGGTTCATGTGTGCTGAAGTACTTGGAACAGTGCCTGCCTCATAGCAGACAGTGGAAGCGTTAGCTTTGTTACATCTAGGACCCATGTGTCGTTCACAGGGCAGGTGTCTGTGGACCCAGTGCCGGTGCAGGATTTGGAGTCCATCTGTTTGTGATTTTCAGTGACCTGAGCGCAGGCTCACACGCTCCGTATTCACACTGTGTTCACTCTCCCTGTTCACGCTCCCTGTGTTCACACTCTCCATGCTCACACTCTCTGTGTTCACACTCTCCGTGTTCACACTCTCTATGCCGTGTCTGTTGTCTTATAGCCAGGAGGAGGAGGAGGTCTCCTCGAGGTACTACGTCCCCAGTTACGAGGAAGTGATGAACACAAACTACTCGCAGGCGAGGGAGCAGGACCAGAACCAGAGGATGAGCATCTCTCTCCCCTCCTATGAGTCCTTGACGGGCCTCGATGAGACGACCCCCACGACCACCAGGGCCGACGTGGAGGCCAGCCCGGGGAACCCCCCCGACAGGCAGAACTCCAAGTTGGCCAAACGCCTGAAGCCACTGAAAGTTCGAAGGATTAAATCTGAGAAGCTTCACCTCAAAGACTTTAGGATCAATCTCCCGGACAAAAACGTCCCTCCTCCCTCCATCGAGCCTTTGACCCCCCCGCCACACTATGATGAAGTCCAGGAGAAGGCCCCCGACGCCCGGCCGCCTGACTGACGGCGCCTCTCAGGTGTCTTCCCTCCTGCCACTCACCCTCCGCACCCACAGACCCCCAGTGAAGCCACTTCAGCTGCAGATGAGGAGCGGAGGGGCCAGATGCCTCCTTAGCAATTTGGATGGTGGGGGGTTCTGTGAATTGGGAGAGACTGTGACGTCTGCGGAACCTCATGTAGCAGGCACGTCAGACAGAGATGCTGCCTTGGCTCTCCTGATGTTGCGGGGCCATCGAGGGGTGACCCAGGCATCTTCCCCCTTGTTTTCCTTCAACTCTGAATTGTCGGCCACAGCACTCCTCTTTCCGGTTAGGAAAGGATAGCCAGCAACTGGTTAGATTGTGGTTTTGTCCTGCCTCCGCTTTCTTCACTGGAGTCCTGAACTGTGGGTGGGGGATATGACTCAGCTTTGGAGAAAGGACACGGGGCCGTTTTGTGAAGGAAGAGAATCAAGAGGCTGCATGATTATGTGGGGCGAGGCCCAGGTGGGTCTCTCGGAGCCCCTGATCCGCCGGGTTGTTGAGGGCCCCAGGCCTGAGGATGCATAAGGTCGTAGTCTTATCTGGTACTCTCTCCTCGTCTCTCCTGTGTAATAGCAAGAAAGGACAGCTGTGTGGGATGTTGTGTTCCTTCTAAAATGCCATGCAGCCGAGCTTTTTATAATAAAATATTTTATATGTAGGATGTCTGGGTGCTGATTACTTTAGCAGCTGTTCCAATGCTGACTTGCTTAGGGACAATAATAAGAAGAATAGCTAATATCTACCAAACACTTAGTAGATGCCCGGTGCTGTACAAAGGCATTCATGTATGTTGTCCCATCTCGTCTGGGTCCGGGTATTACCGCCATTTTGTAGGTTAGCTCGTGGAGGCTCAGGTCAAGTAAAGCACCCCATGTCACACCGCTAGGAAGTGGCAGAGCTGGGATTTGAACCCAGGCCATCTGGCTCCAGGGCCTGAGTGCTTAATCGCTCTACTGCACAACTCAGTGGGAAGAGCTTTTTCAGGCTTCGAATAAGGACCTGTGCTCCCCAAGAGCTGAGGCTGTCCCTGTCGACCCACATGCCCGACAGAAAGTTCTGGTTGTTTAGACAGCAGCTGTCTACCTGTCTAAACATCCTTCTGACATCTTCTCTCCCAAGAGCTGGCCCAGGAGGGAGCGGACGGGCTGTATGATCATGGAGGGGGTGGGGGTGTCCGCATGCAGAGGGCAGAGTGCCCACCTTTGGGGCCCAGGAGAGCAGAGCAGTTCCACTAACGAGAATGCCTGGGGGGAATTACAGACTGCTGAGCCTGGGGTGGAGGAGGGGGGCGGAGACCGGGGGGGGGGGGGGGGGGTGGAGCGGGGGTGGGGCCCAGAGATGTCTGGGGTCAGGTCTGGACCGTGGAGGGGGAGTCTGGGAAGACAGACCAGAATGGAAAAGCGCCTTCCTGGAAGTGGTGAGCGTGGAGTGGGCCTGCAGGGCATCTGCGTGCTTGGAGCTGGGTAGGAGAGTAAATTCCTGAGCCCAGATGTTTCCTAAAAGCTCCCGTGGGAGGAAGGGGCGGCCTTTGGGGAGTGAATCACCTTCTTATCTTGGGATCGGCAGCAGGGCCTCAATTCCAACCTTTCCCTTTCCTCATGCAAATCTCTCTCTAAAAAAGGGAGCTGCAAGGATCTGCTTCGTGGCCTGGGACACCCGGGGGCCTGGCCTGCTCCCAGCCCACTTCTGAGCCAGCTGTGGCTCCCCGTGTATCTCTGGGCCGGACTTGTGCTTCAGTTACTCTTTATGCTTCCACCTCACGTGAGGACAGACAGGAGGAAGGAGAAAAGGGGAACAGTGAGCTTCCAAAGGAGCTGAAAAGCGACTTTCTGCAGGGCTCTCAATCTCGTCCACATGTCAGGGCGTCTGCCCAGCCTAGACCTTCCCTGGGAGAGAAAGGGGTTTGGGGCTCGTAGGGGGCTGAATGTGGCCCCCTCTACATATCAGGCCCTAGTCCCTGCACCTGAGAATGTTACCTTATATGGTAAAGTTTCTGTGGGTGTGATTAAATTAAGGGTTTCGAGAGGGATTGTCCAGATGAGCCCTACAAGCCATTCACAGGTGCGTTCACAGGTGAGAGCCGGGGCAGATCACGTGCAGAGAAGATGAGGTGGCATGTGACCTCGGGGCAGAGCTAGAGGGATGCAGCCACAAGTCAGGCCCCGCCTGGAGCCCCCAGAAGCTGGAAGAGTCGAGGACAAATTCTTGCCCAGGGCGTCCGAGGGGGCCCAGCCCTGCTGACACCTTGCCTTTGGCCCAGTAGAAGCTTATCCTGAATTTCCGGCCTCCAGAACCGGGAGAGAGTGAGTTCCTGTTGTTTCAGGCGACCAGGTGTGTGGGAAACTGGTGTAGAGGCCTCAGGAAACCAGCACAGGGCTCAACCTTCACCCAGGTAGAGATCAGCCTGCCTTCAACCAGAATGCTGCAACTTTTCCTACAGGCAGGAGGGCTGCGGCCGTTCCCACTGAGACCCTGTCTGTTTCGTATGTGTGGAAAGGATCAAGTAGAAAATTATTCATATAACTCAGAGAATATATCATGGATATTTAGCATGTAAAACGGAGCGTGGGTTCACTTCCATCAAAGAGGAAGGCAGAGAATGTCAGCTGGGAATGCCAGAGTCCTATAAAAAAGCTAAAAAGGTAAAAATCGGAGGAAAGACTCCAGCCTGTCCTTTCCTCTCCATCACGTTTTTGTTCTTAAGGTAAAATGTAAAGGGACAGAGATGGGGGAGAAAATTGAAGAAGCCACCCCCCTTTTCTTAGGCCCTAAATGGCCCCAGGGCTATGAAGGAGCAGAGAAAATTCCCGCCTAGAACCCCCACCCCACCCAAAGGGAGGACTCTCAGGAGCCACACTGGTGTCATGTGACCTCCACCCCCTCAGGTCACAGCTGATTGGATCTGGTACCTGTCCATCTGACCCAGGAGAACCAATCAGAAGCTGAGCTGGGCTGGGCATGTCTCTCCCAGGAAGTGACCCTGAAATGGATGGAGAGGCTCCTGGACGATGTGGTTTCAGGGATTGGGGGCCATTTGGGGGCCCTGATGCTGGGCCACAGGTGAGTGCAGCCGGGGACGTTGCTCTGCAGAGAGAATGGAGCTAACGCTGAAAGAGGCAGACGTGAGCAAGGACACCTAGAGGGGGCTGTGTCCTGATGACCGCTGGACGTTGGTCCTTCTCCTTTGGGAAGCCCAGCTGTACATCTGCCCTTGGGTTCCATGAGAGATGCTGTGTGCTCCCAATAAATCCGCCTTTGCAGCGCTGATCCTAAACTTAGCCAAAGTCCTTGACCGCGGCCATGGCCTTTGCCTCCTCCGCAGTGCTGGGCCCATGGTGGCTTCTCCACCTCATCTCAATTTTTTTTTAAAGAGTGGCACCTGAGCTAACAACTGTTGCCAACCTTTTTTTTTTTCCTGCTTTTTCTACCCAAATCCCCCCAGTACATAGTTGTATATTATAGTTGTGGATCCTTCTAGTTTTGGCATGTGGGACGCCACCTCAGCATGACCTGATGAGCGGTGCCATGTCCGTGCCCAGGATCCTAACCAGTGAAACCCTGGGCTGCCGAAGCGGAGTGTGCGAACCCAACCACTCGGCCACAGGGCCGGCCCCTTGTCTTAATTTTGATTTTCACTTTCTCAGACTGGTTACAGCTCTGACGAAGGGGAGCCGCCAGCCGATGATTGAGGCATAAGACTGTGTGGGACGTGAGTGGGAGCGCAGGAGGGGGCCCTGCCTGGTGTGTGTGTGCAGCTGAGCCAGCCAGATCCATCCACAGATACGTGCTGGGCTCCTGTCACATGCCAGGCACTGTTCTAGGCTCTGGGGACACAGCAGTGAAGCTGATGCCCTGCTTTCCGGGGGACGGGTTCTTGCTTGGGCAGTGGGTCCCGTGGCCTTGGGTGACAATGACCATGGTCCTTCTGTCCTGGCTACTTGACCTGTGTACAGTAAACTTGAAAGCCGAGGGGGCCACGTGCACAGGGAAAGCTGGCCTGCGAGAAGAGACAATGAAGCAGAGGATCCCGAGGAGCACCCTGCACAGGCAGAGATAAGGGATCGTGCTTTGCATTTCCTGGTCTGGGTTCTCCTCAGCCTGGCCCCGCTCACTATCCTCTGGGTCTGTGGGAGCCCCAGGCTGCTTTCAGTAACATCCTATCTGCTTAAACGAGTTGGAGTGGGTTTCTGTTACTTGATGTCAGATGTCCTGAGACGCCTTGTTTCTAGATGGACAAGTGTGAGATGGCTAAGCCCAAATAAGTCCGCAAGGGTCCAGCGAGACTGGAAGTGGGACACAGCTGATCATGGAATGGACGGACTGATTGAGCCACAGGCTGTAAAAGGCAGTACACGAAGGGCCCTTCTGAGGATTAATGGGCTCATTTGTGGCCTTAAAGGCCCTGAGAAGGACCGTTTAGCTCCTGGGACACACCGTGCTGAGTATTCAGGTGCGGCGTTCTGAAAGGACAGCCCTGTTCCGTCTGCGGGCGCAGAGGGTGAGAGAGGGCCTTTCTGGCAGGGAGGACTTCGCTTCCATCCTAGCCCTGCTGCTTCCCTGGAGCACGATCTTGGGCAAACACCTTGACCCCTCTGAGCCTTGAGCTCTTCAACCAGCAAAATGGAGGTTACCGGTGTTGAGATGGGAATGAGAAAAACACAGGTGAAGGACCTAGGCTGCACTGGCACAGAGCAAGCGAGGGCTGCCTGGAGGCGGTGACTGGACCACAGCCTCCCGATGGAGAACTTGGAGACCCGAGCACTTCTCTAAGCGTGAACCTCACGCTCATTTCTGAAAACACATTCTGGGAAAGTTCCCCAGGCCTCCGAGCAGTTTGTGAGGACTCTTCACACAAAGCCATCGCCGGGAAAACGGCAGCAGGGCCGCGTCATTAAGGCCAATTGAGGCAGCCCTGGGGCCAGCCTGGCGCTGGGCTTGGCTCCTCAGTGCACGGGAGGGCAGTTTCCACCACGGAGAGTGGACAGTCCATCCGTTTTGTTTGATTTTCAGTCTAATGCTGCATTGTCAGTATATTCAGAAGCGAGTGACTGGTGCTAAGAAAGTGAATCTTGGGAAGCACAGTGTCAGGGTGGTAGACATCCCCCTTTCCTGGTGAGTCCCCACACGTGTTTCCCTGGATTTTAATGGGTAGACGTGGAAAAGGTCCCTGATGAGATCCATTTGGGAGTCGCCAAATTAAACCAAGTCTGTGCATGCAGCATGTTTTTATTGAGCAGCTACTATGTGCCACGTGCTACGGATAAAACTGCAAACAATTGGACGGAGTCCCTGCTGACACAGAGGCTACATTTTGGGGGGAGGTGGCCAGATCACCAACAAATAAATAAATACATGATATAATGGCAGAAAACGAGAAGTGCTGTGAAGAAAAATGAGGCAGGGTAAAGAATAGGAGGTGAAAGGCGATCGCCTACTTGGGTGACCAGGAAAAGTCCCTGGGGACAATGTGTGGATGCAAATTCATCCTGAAAAGCCAGTGGAGAGAACATAGGTACACACACACACCAGAAGCCTTGAAAATGCAGCCCTTGCAACGAGAGTGTGCTCGGGGCCAACCAGGCTGCCCACTGTGTGTGTCTCATCAACACCAAGCCCCCAGGGGACAAGCAGACCCCGGAACCCTGGACGACACGCTGGTGC